CTCAAAGATTAGGTGAACCATAATAAGATAAAGCAATTTTGAACTATTGATACAAATGCAATGTTAACATAAACAGTAAGTAATGTATGAATTATATTGGCCAAGTGTGTAAAGTGATATTTGGGCCATTACATGTGGGTTTTATTCTTCGATTATAATTGAAATTATATTCTGAAAGAATATATTTGTGATATCGTGATACATGTCATAATATGATAAATATGCATATTTATATTTTTAGTGCACATTATGGAGCTTTCTTATTGAATTACATAATATCGTTAGTTTGCAAATTATTATAATTGCTAAGGTCAGTACAATTAGTGAAATCCTTACTTGGACCTATTGATTGTTAATTGAGTGATAGTTCGGTGATTAGAAGATTTAGAGAAAATTTCACCTAGAACTATTTGATTCACAGAGTTTTCAAATTGGAAGAATTAATGTAATTCTCCCTAAGAATTTATGAAATTTTGCGTTATGAAATTAAGTCTATTAGAGTGAAATAATATGATTGTGGACGATGATTGGAAACATATTAAAGTTTCAACTTAGTGCATAACTTTGAACTATCGTATACGTTAATTTGCATTAAATGAAAAATGGTATATTTGCATAAATGGGTATTGATTGTGAATAAAAATATCTCTAAAATCTAATAGATCATGACGTCAAAATCTATAGTTGTTGACCTTAATAAGATTTTAAGTATACTAAAAGAACATGATGTTTTAGAGAGTATCAACCAAGCAATAAGCTAAAACAAATGTTGGATAGATAAGGAGACTCAAAAGGAACCAAGACGAACATATGTGATAGTAAGTATATGAAGTGATTTTGATAGCAGATCAATATTATAAAATTTCAAGTATTTCAACAATACGGTTTGAATCTCTTGGCTTGACAATGGTTAAGTTAAAAGATATATTAGACAGTTAGAATACAGACACACACATATATATTTATATGACTTATACATGCAACTTAATGTTGCAAAGTGGAGAAGTGGCATCCTGTTTGATTTAAGATAGTATTCAAAACTCCATTAAACTTGATCTCAATCATTGTTCTTTTAAGAGTGGTCTCTAACTTGAACTTATACGCGATAATTATGTTCGTACTCATAGTTCTAACATTTATTATAGTTCTGGATATTTGTGCAACGGTTTAAGGTTTTGAGTTGAGAACACCATTCAAAACAGTAAGAGTTAAACTTCCATAAAGTAAATCAATCCAAATTTCTTTGCAGACCATGATTGAGATAGAAATGAAAACTCATATTTTCATTACATTTATCGATGGATTTACCCATTTTATTTGTGCCTCTGATTTACATAAGTTGATGATATAGTATTGATTTAGATTTTTCAAAAGTGGAGTAGAAAATAAGATTATGAAAGTGAAGATTTTAAGAACTATTTGAGAGCATGAATCTATATTATGAGAGCTCAGTGGTCTATGTATTTAAAGAGAAATTCTTTTTGGATTGACTATTCCTTAATTACCAAGAATTATATGGTCTATTGGGCAAAAAGAATGAAATATTGCTAAATATGATGATGCTTAAGATAATGTAATCCAATTTACGTGTCTTGTTTTTGGAAAGAGTGTCGGTTAATTGTAGTCTGTCATTTAATGAAGTTCTCTAAATATTAGTACTTTTAGAATATATATCAGCTTTGAACACAGAGATAACAAAATATGTGTTATCTTAGATTCATAATCGACTGTATAAGTTCTTGTTAATGAGTTTAGGAATATGAGTCTATTAAGAATGAGATGTATCACTCTCAAATACACATAATAGTCCAAAAAGTACTTAAGTGAGATTTTGGATGGATATTGGGTCACAAGATGTGATATTTGACTTTTTTCCTAGTAAAGGAGAATACTTTTGAGAATATTATTGAAATTGATATTATGTGGATTGATGAATTAGTTTTAAATACCAAAGAGTTGGTTTAAGCTTCTGATTTAAGTGAGAGTTATCTAAGAACTATCTAATTTCAATGATTTTTGGTTTCGAGTAGGAGCTAAGAACTATCTAATTTCAATGATTCTTGATTCAGAAAATCAGTGGAGAAATTTGAGGAACGTGATGAAAGTATATATGAAGTAGAAAATTCCAACCTAATTTGAGATGTGGTAGAAGTTGTAGTTGGAGATTATGTTTCCTGAGAATATTCATGTTCTTAAAAACTAAATAGAAGACTAATGGGTTTATGATAGATAAATCTCATTTTTTTTAGAGAAATGTTATATTCAATATGCGTATATTAGAGTTAAATAAACTTTTTTTTCTTAATAGTGAGATTCACTTCTATACGTTAATGCTAGCCATGATAGTGTGTTTAATTCTAAATTATAATAAACAATTTTAGATGCTGTATTTTCATTCTCAATTGAGAATTGATTGAAGAGGTCTAAATAAATCAATTTATAGGTATCATGTTAAAGGCTTTTATAGTGGTAACTTTATAGTTATATTTGTAGTCTAATGTAGTCATTTTGACATTAGTATTTGAGTTTTAACAGACTTTAAATTCCGTAAAAAAATTCATATATGGGTAAAGATCATTGTATTTATGTAAAAGTCTGATGGTGGGCTGTAATTGTAACTTTGATGTTAATAACATTACATTGGTTAAGCATAAAAAGGAGTGTATTGAGATCATTTTGAAATGGTTGTCCTTAATCCCTAATAACGAAGGATGTAGGTTTAGCAAATTGTATATTTTATGTTAAAAAGATTATTCTAATTTTCTTTCTGTGTCACAAGAGTTGCATACTATAAAGATACTAAAATATTTTAAAACTATATAATTGCTACCATTTTGATACTCCTACATCGAAAGATGACCATATAAGTTTTAATATATGTCCGAAAATTTCATATGTGCGCAAAGAAATATCCAGAGAATCATATCTAGTACAATTAGGAGTTAGAAGTATAATATGATGTATTCTTGTCCTAACATTTGTCATGCCATGAATCTAGTCAGTAGGAATCAATTTTATCCTTAAAAAGGGTATTGTGATTCCTGAAGGTTATTGTTGTCAATTATTTTATTTTGTTGTTGACGGAATAACTTATTATTGAAATAGATATGCAAATATCGACTAAAAATGAGATTTAGTCGAGTACAAATAATCATTAGACTTGTACACTCTTGATATGTAGGTGGCAAAAAGTATATCTTGTAGTGTATATCTTGATAGTTGAAAATTTTATTTAGTATAGATGTATTGTGCATCTAATAATACTAATTGAGAATATGAAATCCATGATATTTATGCAATCATCTAATATGTTGAGGATCTCAAGTATTAGGATGAAACCAAACACTTGATGGTATTTCTATAAGAGACATTAGCAAATAAAGTTTCTTTACGATATATATACATAAATGATGATATGTAATCATTATACTCCAAAGATCTCTAGACATGTACTTTTTGGTAATATCGAATATCTAAAATTGTATAAAATATGATACTTAGTATATCAAAAAACTTTAAATTTGAATTTATTTGTATGCCAGAAATGACAAATTTTGAGTTCATGTGTAATCAACTATTGGGATTACGAGATAATAATTTGTATGCACATATAAAGTATGTCGAACAAATTTGTATGCACGTATAAAGTATGTCGAATAAATTGAGATTGGCTTACTCATACAAGCAATTGACTCAGACATTTTGGAATGTGCTAATATGAGATATCATGATCATATTACGTACATGATTCAATCGCCTTGACCAGATATCAAAATGAGATTGCAATAAGTAATTGATATAGATTTCGTTATTCTTTAGATCTGTTTTTATAACCAGATCGAGTTCTCAATTGGAGATTGCCTAGAGGAATAAAGATAAAGATAACTCAAGTTAGGTATCGAGGAACACCATAAGTAGGATATGTACAGTGTTATTTATTTATAAAGAATATGACATATGCCCTAAAAAGGAAGAAAATATTATAGCATGTGTTTTATACTATGTGTGTTTTTACCACCAATATTTGGTAAATGAGTGAATGGATCCCTGTTTCCTCATTGTGTAAGATCTAAAGGTTTATATAACATCATAAATACCTTTATGACTTTAGACTTTTTTTGAGATTTTAATTCAGTTGATACTTTAGCATGTTGCTAATGACTATGATTGATTCAGTTTGATGTCACATGTATAGAAAAGCAACTAATTTGAAGTTAAAGAATTTGAGTAGGAAATGAAAACTATTCTGACCAACATTTATATTTTTATTCATCGGTCGGACAATTATATTTAACCATTTATGGCATATAACACAATTGTGGAAACAATGATACGGTGTAGGTTCAAGTATGTTCCATAAATACTCGAGGGATCGAAAATACTTAAATTAATGTTGAAAAATAAGTTTGGAGTATAACGAAATGTCATGTTACTCTAGTAGAGATACCATTTATCCCTAACATGTTTATAGCACAGTGAGCTCTAATATACTCATTGGTCTCACGATCTATTTGTTGTATGAATTTTTTTAGATAAACTTTGAAATGGATCCAACATTGTGATATTCGTTATCTTTTTGGGTTCGAGTTAATCTCATTATGTGCGAATGGGAGATGTTAGAAAATAGGGCCATGATTGTCCAAGTGAGGAGACCCGATCCACAAGACAACAAAACAAGTTGGAGGGAATAGTTTGAACTTGAAATTCAAACATTTGACTCCCCATGACCTACCTTAAGGCCTCACATAACCTCCAATTTATCGTGTTAGAATAAAATGGAGAGAAAAACATATTGCAAAATGGTGAAATTTGTATGGAAAATATCACTAAAATTGAAAGGTACCTAGAACCAATAAGTTGGCATAAAAACTCACAAAAATTGACATTGAGGTTGCAGCTAATAATCCCCTTCCATTGTGATCGGGATTGAGACCATTGAAGTGCAAGAAAATTGATGATTTGAAGTTTTGGAAAGCAAGATAATTTAACCATTCAAAAGATATTGGAATTCCTTATTTCAAATTTTCAAGTAAGCATCTTGACCGAAAATTTATATTCAAGTATGCTTCGAATTATTACAATCCCTACAAATAAATTACTAGGGTGTATAATTCATATTCATCTTACAAGCTCAAGCTGATTGAAATCTTAAGACAACAAAATAAAGAAGACAAATTTCCAGTATTCGATCATCAAAGATTGCAGCCTCGCACCCGTTTTCCATTTGAATTCAATAGACATTACCACAGTCATTCCATTTCCTACCTCGTCGCTCAAGAAAGATGCAACTAGTCAAATGACAAATTTTGGTCAGTGTACGGAGAATACAAGATCAGACATTGGATTCCCAGGAACATTTAAAATTTTTCTTTCGTTAACCGACTAATGGAGTTTTCCTTAGTCTCTCAACCTTATGTGTCAATATCATAGCAATATCTTCTTTCCCGTCATCAACAAGAGCTCGTTTCAGAGTCTTAAACATTGTATCTGGAGGCCTTATACCCATGTCAAGCATCTCTTGAAGATATTGGCATGCATCGTTCAACTTATTCTCATTGCAGAGACTGTTGATCAAGGTCGAAAACATGTGCATTCCAGGAAGTACACCTCTGGCCTTCATCTGATTCCACACTCTCAATGCCATATCCGTCCGCTCCTCATTGCAAAACATCCTTACCATGATCTCATATGTACTTACAGTTGGCTCACACCCTGGCTCATCACTAATTTTGTTAAAAACAACATAAGCCTCTTTTGTTCTGTTAACCTTTATAAGGTGCCGTAGAATTATATCATAAGTTCGTGCATTCGGACCAACCCCACATTTTTTCATCTCATCAACTGTCCGATAAGCATCATGCATTCGATCTGACCAACAATAAGCTCCCACCATAGCATTATAAGTAGGTGCCTCAATAGCAAAACTGCTAGCCTTACACGACTCAAAGAACTTCAAACATTCGTTCAACCTCTTCTCCGGCCCCAAACCATTAATCAAAGTGCAATATATATGAGGGGTCGTCTTGATATTCTTCTTTTCCATTTCATGATATAATTCAATCGCTTCGTTGAACCTTCTAACCTTACAATAAGCATTGATTAAAATCCCATAAGTCACAACATCGGGCTCAAAGCCATCGCCCCTCATCTCACGATAAACCTCGTCCATTCTAAGCAAATTACACTCTTGACCCCACCCTTCCAACAAGATTGCGTAGGATTTAATGTCGGGCCTAAACTTTCGGTTTTTCAATTTATCAAACACCTTCTGAGCACTGTCCACATGCCTAGACTTGCTCATGGTATCAAGCAGCCTATTGTAATCTTGCAACTCGGTCGTAAAACCATACTTCTTTTCCATCATCTCAAATGCCTCCATAGCTTCTTTCACCTTCCTTGCCCTTGCGTATCTCCTCGAAACCAGAGCAAACGTGTTTTTCGACAACAATCCCTTTTGTTTCATTTCATCCACCAAAACCCACACCATTTTGAATTGCTTAATTTTTCCCAACGCTTCAATGAGAGAGTTATAGCACTCATCAATATACAGGAAGACTTTTTGCTTCTCCGCCCACCTGAAAAACGCCAGCGCAGTAATTCCCGCATTATTGAGCTTCTTTAACACTTCCAAAACCACAATTGGAGATATACTACTAAAATTAGCAGAACTCAAAGCAGAATCCAGATTTTTTGGAATTTTAACATTGGATACTAATTTAGCGATTCTTTCTGCTTCTTGGGTGGTTTCGGCATCTAGGTTCTTGTAATTATTAGTCTTTAATGAAGTATGATCGTGAAATGCTCTCGGAAAATGAGGATATGAGGTAAACCCAGATGGGTTGAGGTAATGAGTTAGTATGTGGGTTTTCGAGGGATTTAATGTGGCTAGGGCCGAGGAATTTGGAGCATTAGGGGTTATTCCATGAAGAGAATCCTGGGAACACTTAAGAAAAGGTTTAGATAAATTTTGGAGGAATTTGGATACACCCATTTGAAGCGAAGTTAGCATAATCTGATAAAAAAAACTGACAAAATCTGTCTGCCCGGACGAGGTTCAAACTCATAATTTGGGGGAAAACTAACTGTTCTTATGTGACTAGTGTTTCAAAGCCCAAGTTTGAACTCCATTATTTTTTAACAATAGATTTTGAAATGAACTTATTATGCCCTTTGAGCCCCATTTTTTGGAGAAGAATGAATTTTTAAATAGTATATTGATGGAAAATATATAATTAAAAAATAGGAAAAAAATTTAAATTTACGTGTAATATTATTTTATTGAAGAATGTGTGGTTGAAATTATATCAAAATACTGTTGAAAAATGCATTTTTCCATAAGAATGGGACTCAAACAAGGGCTATGTGTGATTAAGAAGTTGAAAAAGATTTTAAATTTGTGTGTAATATTATTTTATTAAGAGAATATTTGGTTGAAAATAAATTTGAAGACAAATGTATATTATTGAAAAATGAGACTTAAACAAGGGCTAAGAGGCTCTAAAATGATCCGATGGTTTTAAGAAAGTTGTCCATCAATGAATAGAGAGAGATTTTTTTTATCGATAAATGTGTAATATATTTATCAAAATCATGCACAAATACACCAAGCATATTTGGGCAAATCATCCAAAATAGATATACAAATTTACATAGTCACGCCAAACTTGCCGGTCACCATGCCTAACTTCTTTTTCACCATAGTGGTCTTTTCAATTGCAAAAGACAAAAATATTCTTAGTAAGGCTATCAAAACTACAAAAATATGGCTGTATTAAAAAGACAAGAAAAACATTTTACTTGTAAAACAAAAACTAACACTTCCCTCTTAAAATTTGAAAATCAATTCATTTTCTTTATCTGTTTTCTCCAACACAGATAATGTTCTCTCATTTTGCATCTTCTTTAATCTTAAAACCTCAAAAATTTATCAAATGCTATATAAAAATATTTCTTATGTATCCAACACTTCGAATCAATAAGTATATTTAATTTTGTATTTGTTAAATTAATATATTTTTTAATTGTTCAATTTCAACATATACTAATACATAAATAACTTTTTACATTTCATTTAATAGATTTGAAATTTTTTAAGCAAAAAATGAAAAAAAAAATCATCTGCATAATCAAATTTCGTATTTTAAAAATTCAGATGACTGAACCATCCTATAACGGACAGCCCAGCTGGACAAGGATGTCCATGGCCGCCCGACTAAGATGGATCTTTTTATTTTTGTTTTTAATTTTTAGTACCCTTATTTATTAATTCCTTGTGGTTAATCTTTTTTTTTTTCCGTAATGAAGATATGAGATCGGCATATTTGCAGGTTTGTTATTTCAATGAATTTAAAGGAGAAAATGGTCGATGAGAATGAAAATGACAAATGAAGGAGATGATGTTACTAAAATTGTGATAATATCGAGTATGTCCTATGAGGAAATTATACCATGATATACAAAGCAATGAAACATAACTTTGAGTTTAAAGTAAATAAATCAAACAAGTTTACATACATAATTATTTGTGTTGACAACAGTTGTAGTTGGCATTTGGGAGTGACGAAGATAAATACGAATGAGTTTTTTGTGGTTCACAAGTATGCACAAGAATATACTTGTAAAGTGGATATTCGCCGAAATAATCCCAAATAAGACGGATCATGATTTATTGGTCGACAAATAGTGCATAAGGTTCAGGATCCATGGACAATTTACAAACCTACAGACATCATTGGCGGTGTTTGTTAAAAGTATGGGGTCATGAGATACAAGAAGGTCTAGAAGGCTAAAGAATGTTCATTGAAGGATTCAATGGGTTAATCGAGGAGAGTTATGCTAAATTAGTCAAATATTGTCGTAACATAAGAAGAACTAATCCTAATTAGACATTTTTTTATAAGACTAATTATGAGAATCGCTTCAAGTAAATTCTTTATAGCTCTTAGACAATGCATTTGAGAATTTCGAAATATGCAACCCCTAATTCTAGTTAACGATACAACTTCGAAAGCTATATAAAAAGGAAAGTTGATTATTGCTACATGTCAATACACCAATATCCAAATTTACCCTCTTGTGTTCAACATAATTGATGGCGAGAATGATCTACTATACGTTCATTCTTTACAAAACTGAAAGAAGTAATTGGGGACGTCGAGAATCTTATCTTTGCAACTGACTACAAGCACCATATAATAAATGGTATCGTTGAAGTGTTGCCCAAAAAACATCATACTTATCGCATGGACCACCTATAAAGCAATCTGAAGACTAAATATTGAGAAAGTGGATCTTTACATTATTTAGGAAAGTTGCAGAGGCCTACAATTTCAATGAGTTGAATAAGTTGATGTTCGAAATAGAATATAAATCGCACGATGTATGAGAGTATTTAATAGTGAAGATCGGGATTGAACAATAGGTACTGTCACATTTTTTAGGACGTCAATACAATATGGTGATGTCAAACAATACGGAGTCATTCGATGCATTGTTGAAGAAAGATTAAGAGTTATCAATTCTTGTACTAATTGAACACATTCGTAACAAGTTACAACAATAATTTCATGACTAGCGTGCAGAATAAACTACGTGCACAAGTGTGCTAACCTCAAATCATGAAGATAAACTTATGAGTACCATAGGAAAAGGCTAGCAAGGATTAGTTGATTGTGGAAGAAGGACCAATGATGAGATTGCGAGCAAAGAATATCAATGACGCCATGTTATTACTTTTTTAAATTACATGGGCTGAAAATTCAAATGCAATGAGCAAAACAACAAATTTCATGTTGGGCATGGAAGAATTACCAAGATGGGTGCATTTGATTCAAGCAAAGGAAGAAGAGGAAATTCTAGTGATCCATAGAGCTGCATATGCTTAACATTCATGCAGTTGCATTCAGCACTCAAAACGACCTCGAGAAGAAAAGAAGGCACACAATATGGTCACATCTAAGTGTTCTATGAGGCCGCATAGTTCAAAATTATGGACGCATTTTTCAGCAGTTTAATTTCGTAGAACTCTTTTGTTTTGGTAACTTTTAGATTATTTTCGATTTGTTTAGGGTTTTCATGAGTTCGCTATATATAGTACTCATTCTTTTTTATTGTAAAAACATACATTATTGAGAGATTAAATCAAAGGAAAATGAATTTCTTCTTGTTCTTCATTGAACTCAATTTCAAACTTTCAATGATTTCATATTTAAGGTGTTCAACAATACATAGCAAGGTTCATAATTTTTATAATTAAGGAATCAAGTTCTTTATAATTTGGTTCATTGATTCAATAAATTATTGGGTCAACTTTCAAACCAAGATTATGAGGATTCAATTGTGTGGGGGTTCAGAGCTACTATTACTTCGAGGGTTCACATCATAAACTTTTTAAAACTTTAGAAGTGGCAAAAAAGATCAGTGTAGGATTACCCCAAGGGGTAGTGGGTTTTTTTACTAATTGGGGCTCTCCCTTTACCACCCCCTTGGGAATGGTCTACAGGCCACCGGATTAATTTCGCTTCTTTGTGAGACGCGGACATAATATCAGATATATCGTGAACTTGAATAATAATACCTTCACTGTAAACAATTTCAATTGGAGAGTTTTCCATCTGCGCAAGCAGTCGCAGTGACTATGTATAGAGAATTTCTACCACACAATTTATGCACCCATTATTACATGGCTAATTATTAGAGAGTAGGGTATGCAAAAGCTATATTTTCTCTACTAGATGAAGTCGAATGGGAAGTTTTCGACTACATTCTTCAACTCAATAATTTATTGCCACTTGACGTTAGACCGCGTACTCCTCAACGTAGATGTACGTATAAAATACTATCTATCGAAGAATTTCCCTAACCGCGTAGGTGCAAAAGATGCAACGCAACATGACATACTCTTTAATTTTGAATAAGTCAAATCCCACTACAAAATAATTAGATGAATTTGTAATTTCTATTCAAATCATATGCAATCTTTATTTATAGTACTTTATTGTTCTTAAATATCGAAAATAATAGTATTTTTCTTATTTCGTTAATGTTCTCTTCATTACGTATTTAATTAAATATATTACAATTACTTATATAATAGATAAAAGTTTAAATTTAAAAAAAGTTATTTTGAGGATCCAACGGAAAAATATTATGTAGAAAAATGATGAAAATCGAAGTATGAGGAACCTACTGCAACTTTCTAATATTTGATGTGAAACAACCGAAGGTTCTGGATCATTCGTTATCGAGCAACTCGGACCTTTTTTTAAATTTTTACAACGACTCTTAGAAATTCACAATGAGGTTTCAAAACCTTCACGGTGGATCCTTCATGTTCCAATTGAATACAATAGAGTCCATTTAATTTCTGATCATCGTCTTTTATTTTTCATAAACCATTAAAAAATTACAATTACATCTCCCATACTTTGATTTTCATCATTTTTCGGAATAATGTCTTTCGATTAGTCCTTTAGGTTCCAATTGCATATAATTGAGTTCATTTGATCTTCGATCATCATTTCTTATTTTTTTTATCAACTATTAAAAAGTTGCAACTAGGTCTCACATACTTTGATTTTCACAATTTTTAACCATAATGTCTTTCTGATTGATCTTTCATGTTCCAATTGCATATAATTGAGTCTATTTGATATTCGATCATTGTTTTTTGAACCATGTCAGTCACTTAAATATATTCACAATTACATAAAAAAGAGTCACGATTAAATTTTTTTTCGAATGGTCATACTTCTTTCAATTGCATCCAATTGAGTCCTTTTAATCGTCGATCATTGTTTTATGTTTCGAATCAACTATTAGAGAGTTACAATTGGGTCCTTAAACTTTTTCAAGCCATTTTCAATCAAATATTTTTTGGAATGGCCATTCTTCTTCAATTGCATCCAATTGAGTCCATTTAATCATCAAACATCGTTTTTATGTTCTAAATCAACTATTAAAAAGTTACAATTGGGTCCCCAAACATTTTTTTAGCTATTTTCAACCAACAATTAAATATATTCAGTAAAAAATATTTACATTTTCAAAAAAGTATCATACAATAGACTACGGATCACAATTATATGCATACAAGTCGAACGT